AAGACACATTGAAATAAATAAAACATTGTCAAGAATTTCATCAGATGCTGCTGATACTTCATCCCACATACAGTATGCTTTGGGGTGTTGCCTGGAAGCCAGATGTCACAAGGAGTAACTGGATTATAAAAAAAGTGACATTTGTGGGGTTCAAAATTGTTGTAGGCCAAATTTAAAAGTACATTGTTTCATGTGGTTCATAAATAGTTACTGATGTATAGAAGACAAGTGGACAAAGATGCACAGGATTTGAAGGATGCTGGTGATTAGGTGTACGCTGTATGGGGAGGGGAGTACGTTCAGGAGCCAAACACACAAACACGTGCAGCCATATTTGCGTACCATCTTGTAGTGTGTCCCATCATCTGTCTCAGCCTGGCAGAGTAGTGGTGGCTTGGGGCAAATGTCACCTGGTGGTGGCAGCGATCACAGTCCAAAAACCCTCACATACACAAACACAATCACTTTGGACACATCTGTGCTCTCGTGTTTTACTTACGTTCAGCTGTGTTCATCACGGTTAAATCAACTGACGCGCTCTGTCCCCCCTTCTCAGTGAACCAAAAATAAAAGCAGAACTGTCAGTACCTTTACTCACAGGGATGCCTTAACACAGAGAGGGACTGAGACACAAACAGCTGCTGATGCACACAGAGATTCATGTAAATAGAAACATACATAGACTTGTGCTGACAGTGATGTCCTGTCTGTGAATGGAGGACAACAGTTGAAAAGGTCAGTTAGTCATGAGTTAGTCAGGACCTTCAAAGCCAGCTCACAGTCAGCTGTGGGCTCAAACTGTGCAAATATAAACAGTAAAATTGATTAGAAGAGACTGAAACCAAACAGGAAGGAAGTGTCCTGACTTACTGAGGGTTGTCTCTTGTATAAAACATCATGCATCTAAACCAAAGATAAGTGTGCTTTTTTTTTCAAGGTATTAAGGACTATGGATGACTAGAGTAGCATTTAACAAAGAATGGTAATTCTTACTAAATATTAACAGTAACTGGAAAATGAATACCATATTTTATGTAAGTTGTAGATTTAGTTATGCTTTGGTCTTCATCAAGCCTTATTTCTGCTGAGGTCACAGGTTGCAGCTCCATAAAATTTTCACCGATTACAAATAAGCATCTGCAGGGGCATAGCTCCAGAACGAAACACGAATGCTTATCATGCTTTGCATGTGTGCGTGTGCGTTGTGTTTGTTTTCAAAAGCATTCAACCATTAATGTGAATCTCGTGTGTAGGTGGACTCACGAATGAGGATTACAGACTTCTGGCATTCTTTGCTTACTCGTTCCTACGGTGGTTCTTTCAATTGTTTGCTCCATTTTTAAATGGAGATGAGAAAAAAAAAAAACATCTAAGAAATTATTATTAATTTAAGAGTAATCAGATTTGTCCTATAAAACGAAATCCTGAGGTTGAAATTTTAGCAGCATCCTAAGAGAACATTTATAGTCTTTTGCTATTCATTGAACCCAAACAGCTTTATTTTTAGGGCTTTCATAAACAAACGCAACATGAAGGACCAGTAGATGGGACTGGCCACCTGCTGTGCCCCTTCACTTTGCAAATATCAGAACTCTCAAAAAAAAAAACACTACGAAGCTGGGCAGGAAGTACAATTTGTGCCTTCTCAAACAAACAACCAGTGCAGACAAGGACTAGAGTTAATATATAACAGAAAGCAGCAGACTTCTAAATCTTTTTTAAAGGAAATCAATTAAAACCAAACTACCGGTAATCAGCACTTGTTTCATGTTTCTTGATACAGTCACAGATCTCAAACTACTACTTGTTAGACTGGGGTTTCTTCACTCCTTAGGTGTATTTTTTAGAAATTTTTGTTATTTGTGGCGACCCCTAAAAAGGGAGCAGCCGAAAGAAGAAGAAAAAAATTAAAAATCCAAAATCAAATATGACAATATGATCAGTTAATTTAGGGTATGCCTCCCTTCTAATGTGGCTCTGCAAAACAGCAATTTATAGCTGTTTTCCACATGAAGTGACCCACTGTTAATACAACATGTCAAAGCTTCTGAATAAACTTATGATGGAGTCTGAGAGTGCATTTGAGACCAAAAAAAAACAAAACACAAGAGCAGAAGATGTTCACATATATACCTGACAGCCAGTTGTCTGGTTTCTATGAAACAACTTTTGACTTTGCCGTTCAACAAACATTTTCAGAATGCCTATAACCTGTTTAGTTTGCATTTTGTGGTTAGCATTTAGGAGAGCGCAAAACAAATTCAGGTTTCTTTATTTGTCATTCACACCACATGTAACGAAATTGTGTACACAAGGTCCCACCCAGTTACATCCAACAAAAGTATATATTGTAAAGAAAAACAGTAATAAGGTCTAAGATATGAACTAAGAAATATGCTAAACTAAGAATATTAATTGGAGTAGTGGCGCAGAGGTTAGAGAAGATGGGCCTGTGATCGGAAAGTTGCAGGTTCAATTCCCCGGACTGACATCAAAATGTGGGTGGAAAAGGTGAAACACCTACACCTACCGCCACCGTCATTTGCCCCACTCTGGGCCCTTGAGCATGGCCCTTAACCTCCATCATTTGCTCCCGAAACAGGTCTCTCTTGAAAATGAGTTCTCGTGACTCAATGAAACTACCTGTATAAATAAAGGGTAAATTAAAAAAAAAATAAAAAATACACTAAGCACTAAGAAATACGCTAAACTAAGAATACACTAAGCACTAATAGTACAAAAACAATACTCCGAACAACAGCAGCACGAACATGAGTCTGTTTGAGCAGATGAGTACAAATGAACACAGCAGTTTGAAATAAATCAGCAGCATAAGATCAGCAGCAATGATAGTCAGCAGCTTCTTTAGAACTTTTTTCAGAAAAACTGAAAATATTTCATCTCATGGCTGCAAAATATTTGAACAAGGTTTAAGATATCAGAGATGTGATGTTTTCAATGCATGGGCTTTATTAGAAACAATATTTGAAGTATACAGCCATAATAATGTGATATGGCACAGGCATCTATTCATCCATTTATTATCTTTTACCCGCTTGTTCCTTTTGGGGTCGCGGGGGTCACTGGTGCCCATGTCCAGCCATCACTGTGCGAGAGGCGAGGGACACCCTGGACAGGTCTCCAGTCCATCCCAGGGACACACAGAGACAAACAACCATTCATTCTCTCACACCTACGGATAATTTAGAGTTACCAATCAGCCTAATTTGCATGTTTTTGGTCTGTGGGAGGAAACCGGAGTACCCGGAGAAAACCCACGCAAGCACAGAGAGAACATGCAAACTCCACCCAGAAAGGTCCCCGGACTGGGATTTGAACCAGGTTAACCTGCTCACTGAGAGGCAGCAGCTCTACCAGTTGTGCCAACGTGCTGCCCAGCCAGCACCTATTCAAACAACTTAAAATATATATTTCAAAACTTTAAGCCAAGGGGATCTTTAAAGAGTGAGATACTTATATAAATTACTTTGTACAAATAAGAAAAGTTGTAGGCATTGTTGCTTTTACCATTTGACATGACTTGTTTTCATCTATGATTTGATAACCCACATACTGACAATTTGTATTTTGTCTAAACGCACTAAGTTTTCTGTGATCTTCTTGTACCTTCATGCTGTAGCCTAAATGAAGGTTTTGCAAATCGTCGGTTTGTCAGGTCGGTGGAATTGTCTATTCAGAATGATGATGGTGCTGATACTATTTCCTCTATTTGTTTTGGGTAAATATTAATTGCTGCTCCACGGATGTGTCCATGTTTGTTTACTATTGAAATGGATGAGTTATGATGGGGGCCGAGATGGGGTAGAGGGAGGGCAGCCAACTCTGGACCCAAGAGCCACAGGCTCAATCCCCAGCCATTCCCACATGTTGTGGTGTCTCAGAGCAACACACCTAATCCCTAATTGCTCCCTGGGCTCTCACATAGCTGCCCACCGCCCCACCTGGGTGTATCCCAGGTGTGATGGGCTAAATGCAGAGAACCAATTTCACCATTGTATGGGAACGTACAATGATGACATCACATAGCACTTATATTATTATTATAAAGTTTATTAGATCTGTTTCCACTGTTTTCACAGCATGATTTCAGTTTTAGGTGCAACATGTTGCCCATTTTTCTGTCGTCCAAGGAAATCGGCTGTTTGAAGAAGCAGAAGTTACAAATGGATTGTTCATTCATGCTTTTGTTTGTTTTCATTTAGTCATACGAATTGTGACAAAGTTAACTAACAATGTTTTAATGATCTTCAATAATCCAGGTAAAAAAAATCCAACAAAGTTCACTCAGGTCCTCTGGACGGTTTCTTCTTTTGTTGAAACATTTCATCCTTCATCATCCAAAGGACTTCATCAGTCCGAGGAGCCACAACAAACTCAGTCCCACAAGCAGCGCACTCAGATAGTGGGCCAACCAGTTTGCTGGTGTTAAGATGGTTTGTGGGATGTGCCAGGCAGCCCAAAGTGGTTCAAAACCTCAAAGAAAATCCAGATTTTTTTTTTTAACCTGAATTACTGAGCATAAACTTTGATGTTTTGAACCACTTTGGCTATGGCTGCCTCAGAGGAGTTAACGGGAGAGAGGGCAGGTCCCAGAAACCATCTTATCACCAGCAAACTGGTTGGTCCTCTATGTGGGTTCACTGCTTGTGGGATTGAGTTTGTTGTGGCTCCTCAGACTGATGAAGTCCTTTGGATGAAGGACGAAACGTTGCAACAAAAAAAGAAACCGTGCAGACTGAACTTTGTTGGAATGTTTCAATGACATTTTTAAGACCTCTGTGGGTGTCCCTGATATGGGGCTCATTTGTAGAAAAATTCAAAGACAATGGTGACAACTGGTGTCTTCCCAGACCTGCTGTGTATTGGCTTTTGCAGAGTGGTATGCCATGCACTACTGTTACTGGATTAGATTCTTCCTAGCTGTTTGTCCATGTCCATCATCTACCTGACACTTCCTTCTCCATCTGTCTTTTCTACAGTGTGGCAAAGCAGCAGAGAACTTTGACAAGTTCTTCACACGCACCCAACCCCAGCTCACACCACCCGATGAGCTGGTTATAGCCAACATCGACCAGACCGACTTTGGAGGGTTCTCCTTCATCAACCCACAGTTTGAACACCCGCAAACCAACAATGTATGAGAAGGATGGTAAAACCTCCAAAGATGCTCCCTGATCACTGCCACCCACTTCAAGAAACCGTCAACATCTGATTAAAGCTTCAAATCCCTCAAAACTCCCTAATGTGTCGGTGTAATTGCTAAGCAGGAGTCAAGGGCATGCACATTTGTTTTGTACAATATTTTCACCAGTATAGATTGATAAATTAGTTTGGGTCATAGTCAACCACGAGACATTCTTTAACAACGGTGGTCACTCACTGTAGAAGGATGTATCTCTGGAGGCATTAGGACAAAAAGATGCCAGACTTTGTAGATCTATGCCAGAGTATGAATTAGATAATAAAATAATCTGTTTACAAATCACAGTGGATTGAACTGATTTCAGTAGATCTAACTGGTGAGAAACAGTTTGTCGCCAAACATAACCCTAACACGCCTGACGCGGTGTAGACACTATAGCCAAAAATTTGAACAGGTGGTGCAGGCGTCGAAACAGCACTTTGTGATTCAATATTTCCTGTATCGAGTTTACAGCTTCATGTCGTCTCATGGTGATTGTATACCAATAACTTTTTTCTTTTCTTTCTTTTTTGAGTAAAATTGTTTTCAACCAGTCTCAGCTCTTCTATGTGTAGCAAGTCCATGAAAAGCAACAAACAGATGAACATATGCATCCTGTGAAAACAGAAGGAAGAGAAACGTTTAGGTATGAGTGGCATTAATTCCAGGTTTTAAAACTTAGCTTGGCTTTAAGTGCTAAATGTAATAATCCAGAGTACTTTTTCATGCTTTTATTGAGCTTAAAACTTTACACTTCAGTCATTTGTATGGCCGTGCATCCAGTTTCGTGTTCGAGCAGTATCAGAGCATGCTGTGGTAAAAACAAACAGTTTACATGGTGTCACGTTCAGACATTAGTTAGTTTTAACTGTTTCTGGCTACACTGATGAGTACGAAGCTTCTCTCTGGCCATAAATGTTTTAAAGGAACCCATGAGTAAATTTGATCTAATTTGAAGATGTGTATTAATCATACAATATGTTATATACAGTGTCAGACCGAGGTTGATGAAACACATTTGTCAGTTTTGTTTCATCCGAAGTCACTCCGTTGTCTCAAAACAAACCTGTTAGGTGTTTTGGAGTCAACATACCCATTGTTAATTTATTCACGTTATCCCTGCTTTCATTTGTATCGTGTTTAAAAAGGTTTTGGTTTCTCTTCCTTTTCCTCGATATTTTCCAGATATTTTCCCGATTAGATCAGATTTAATATTTTATCTTAAATAATCATTGTGTAACTCCTTTTGTAAATAAGTATGGGTTATTTTTAAGTATAGAAAGTTGCATTTTTATACCAACACATGCACATGCTTTTATTACAGTAAGTATATAAACCATTATCTGTATGTTGTATAAAGAGAGCCTAACTCAGTGCAGTTCATCTTTGTAACAGCTGGATGTCTTAACTAGAGTCCAGATTGAGAAAATTGTAAAAATTATATTTTACTTGTTTAGTCAAATTGATCAAAAGTGTTATTTCCCCTTCCTTAAATGATTAGCAGTACTGTTGATTGGATGTGTTTGTGGCTGCTGACTGTCCTTCTGTGTCTGCATGCTGTTTGTAGGCATCGTTCATGCGTGTGATCTGGTCAGTGCTGCATGCTGTGTAGAATGAAAGTCCAACGATTTACAAAGTCAAAGACTCTCTCAAATCTAACAGCGATGAAATTACATGCCCCTTGTTGTCTTAAAGGATTTCTAGCAATAGATTTATATTGGTATTAGGCTTGGGGTAAAAAAACATAATTTTAAGTCAAAATGTGTAAACCCTTCCTGCTTTGTGATACCCTCTGTCTGCGTCTTGAGTTTTTTTTTTAGTATAATTCACCGTTTGCATCTCAGTACTAATACACATTTCTTTTGGTCATGCATGTAGCTTCTTCATAAAACTTCTTGGCACCTTGTGAAACAAAAAAAACAATTAGGCTGGATTATCAAAGTGAGCTAATACAGTTATCCTGACTGAGCTGGTCTAAAACCAGCTGCTTAGTCAGGTAGGTTAGCTACATGTGCTAGCAGCAGAAGTATTACCTAAATATTGCACAATGTTGATACTTACCGAGGCTTGTAGACTTAGGTGGATGCAGAGTGTTGCTGCTGCTGGTTCTAGATCAGTGCTCTTTTCTCTAAAACACATCATGACCCCAGTTTTTTTTTTTTAGGTTTTTTTTTATGTGTATAGGGAAATCTGGATATCAGCTAAACAAAAATGTGATTTTTTTTCCCTGCCCTCCTTGTCCAAAACTGCACTCTCTCCTTGTGTTTTCTCATCTCCATTACCCTCAGCGTGTGCCAAACTTGGAGAACACCAGAACCCAACAAAAACACTCTAACATTAGCTGTTTAACCACAAAGATGATTTCGTGTGGCAGCTTCTCCTGTTGGCCAAAAAAAAAAAACACACAAAAAAAAAAACAGTAGCATGTTGCCATGGTGCACTTTGATATACTTAATTGGTAAATTTGTGCATAATATGTTAAAAGTGCCAGTGACTTTAAAAGATGTGCTACTTTTTATATTTGTTTCATTTTCTTGGGGAAAAAATGGGTTTGAAACAAAACAAAAAACCCTTGTAAAACATTTATTTTAACATCTGCTGTGATTTACTCAAGACTTTAAAATATTAATAGTACATACTCCATTTTCTTCAACAACAGTCTGCTGTTTATAACTAAACTACGGTGGCCCTGAGGTTTAAACGAATAACATTAGAAAAAATGGAATTGCATTAAAACAAAATAAAAAATTACATTAAGCCAAACCGGAAGTGATGACAAAATGGAATTATTTTTCAAAAAAACATAATGATAAATTGTAGTTAAATATTGTTTGTTTACTTTTTTAAATATGTTTTGCTACTTCTCTGTTCCAAATAAATTCAAATAAATTGAATATGTATATTGTGTAAAATTGTTTGTGCAAATGTTGACCTTAGGAGGTATGTCAGAGGATTCTTTACTTGCATATGTGTATCATTTTGTCATTTGAGATTATCATTTCTTCTTTTTTTTTCTTGTGTTCTATAAATAATGTTCCCCCAGCCCCCCAAAAATAAATAAATAAATCCGTTTTCACCCCACTTCCAGTTTGTAACCACTTCCGATTGGCCACTTCCGGTTTTCACCACTTCTCGTTTGGCTTAATGTAATTTCGTTTTTTTAAATGTATTTCCGTTTTGTTTTGTTTTTTTTTTTCAAATGCTGTGTTTTTCCAAATGTTGTTTTTCTAAATGTTGTTAATTTAAACCTCGGGTCCACCATGCTAAACCGAAGATTAATACTCTTAGATCCCTTTAATAAAAAGTTTATTGACTTGCTGTGTTCTTAATCTGTTAAGTCACAGGTGGTGCGACCGTACCAAGTTATTTCCCTCTGTGCCTTTCCCACCTTGTTCAGATGTGTTGTACATTTTCTTTTTAAAATTCATTTTCTTAAACCACCTATTAAACATCACTTGTGTAATAAACCTTTTAGTTTACTCCTTATTTTCCAATATTTTTTCCTGTGCTTGTCTTACCCCCTCTTCCAAGTTGTGAATGTTTTAAAAGTTTCTGAGAAATTAGATGCAAGTGTTAGATTCAGACAAAAACTTTTGCCGTTTATAAAGAGCTGCTTTAAGAAAATGAGAAAAGAAAAAGAGCGAGGGCTGAGATGGGGTAGAGGCAGGGCAGCCGACTCGGGACCAGGAAGTCACGATTCGACTCCAAGCCATTCCCACATGTTGTGGTGTCTCTGACAAGACACCCAATCCCCAATTGCTCCCCAGGCGCACACATACCTGCCCACTGCTCCACCTGGGTGCATCTCACGTGTGAAGGGTTAAACGCAGAGAACTAATTTTGCCATTGTATGGGAACATACAATGATGACAATTTCAGACTCCTCTTCCCGCCATCTGTTTGCTTTACCTTTACCTCTCTGTGCCTCTATCAATACGGTCAAACGTATTTACATTGTGTTAAAAATAGTACTGGGTGGTTTGAAAGGACCATAAGCAGATGATGAAATTATTCTGGTAAAAAAAGAAATGTTTTGAAGAACCCCCCGTGCCTCGTGGCACTGACCCATCCCTCCCTCCTTGGTGCCTGACCTGAGTCAATCCATCACTTTATTAATGCTCCTCCTTTTCACAGCCAAATCTCAGATCAGAAACGTATAAATTCTTTCCAAAAAAGTTCAATCTGGTCCTCTGGTCATTCAAAAAACAAAACAAAGCAAAAAAATATAGAAACGTTTCGTCTCTCATCCAAGAGACTTCCTCAAAGATGGATGAGAGACGAAACGTTTCTATATTTTTTTGCTTTGTTTTGTTTTTTGAATGTCCAGAGGACCAGATTGAACTTTTTTGGATTTTTCTACCTGGATTATTGAGCATGCATCAGGGTATAAATTCTTTCTTCTTTGTTGGTTCCATCTAATACACGGAGAGGAGTTAGCCAAGTTTGTTCTTTTAGTTTATTTAATAGATTTCAATCAACAGAAACTATAAGATTTTCAAATCTAACATCTAAAAGATCATCTTCTAAAATAAATGTTAGTTCAGTTTTTTTGTTTGTTTGTTTGTTTGTTTTTTTAGATCAATGTGTTGTAACGTTTCTCAATCAGCCAGTTTTTTATGCATTGTCCTCCTGGACATCCGGGGCACAGAATCAGTGATGCGCAACAATGCCTTATGCCTGAACCCATGAAGTATGTTCTCTAAATCCTTTGTGTTATCTTTTTAATCACTGCAACCCCTGTCCCTGTACATAAATTACTTATCATGTATCCACAGAGACCGTAAACAAAAGAACGTTGTATTTTGCAAATGGCCTATGTTGTCTTTTTCCTCGTCAGCCTGAAACCTTTAAAACCAGTCTCAGATTCTTAACCTTGTAATTGATTGTGTCATTTGTACCTAATGTATGATAATGCAAATAAAGAAGAGGAGAAAAAGGTCCACATCTGTGCAGCTGTTTTTGTGTCTTTGACATTAAGAAAACACAGAATAATAAACATTTTCTCTAAGAGTTTACAGCTGATTTTATGTTTTTCACAAATCCATCTTATTTATCAGTTTAGTGTTCTGTATTCACGTTATACGTTTCTGTGCATACAGCTTAGAGTTTGTGTTGAGTTGCCTTTA